AGGCGTGCCGCAAATCTTGCAGCGATTTGTCCCACACCGCCATCATGTTGGCGCTCAATGCTTGGATCAGTACCTCGTTACAAGCACGGGCGTAAACTACGAGAACAGACTGTTGGCGAATCTTGAATGAGACCAGTGCCCAAAATAGCCAAGCCACGTAAATCCCCCCGGGGTTGCAGCTCTTTTCTATTTTTGGCTGACATCTTCTTCCACTTTCGCTGACACACTGTTCAATCAAATGCAAACGGTTCGTAACCAACATGCTAAAGGCTACTGGCTGCACTAAAGTGCTGCCAGGCTGCTGCTTCTTGCTGGTCTGGAGCTCAGAAACAGGCAGCAGACGCGGATCTGCAGGAAGTGCCCGGGCTGGGCCGGGGTATGAAAATTTTGAAATGCAATGAGCGTTTCTGACAAGCTACAGACGGCTGTCCGAAAGCTCCCATGTCGGCGCGGATACCTAGGCTGGACGGTTTCAAGTTTCAGCAATCATCAGCCAGGCAACTTGTTGAAACGGGGAGAAACCTGTGGAGCCCAAGCTGGCAAAGTACCTGTAAGCTTCCACTGTAATTTTCTGAATAGCGCTCCCGTCGAACATGGTCTGAGGTGCGATATTGGGATTGGACAAGTTCCAATCTGATGTCAGTGTCGTGTGTCACTCTTGTAAAAGACATCAATGAAGCTAGCGATTCGCCCAAGGTGGATGACTCAGCTCTGATTGGACCGGGGCTTGTTGCGTTGACTGACGATTTTAATGATTAAACGTTTACGCTCGGACCCTTGACTTCTCAGCACCTGGCATGCATGCTTTGAGAGTTCCGGAAAATCTTCCGCGAGGTAAATCTCCTTGGTTGGATGTCAAACCGTTGCACGCGCGAAGGGTGACTGGTCAATCAAGTTGACAAACTTCGGATTCATGCAATGCTCTTCAGGGCGCTAGGTTGGGGGCAAGCGTCCATTGCCCACGGTGACGGAGTGTTTCCAAATGAGCGTGTGTCAGCGCCTTGCCAAGCGTGAAGAACATGCCAGGTCAACACTTCTGACATCTGAGACCAGCCTGTTTTTCCCCAGCCCAAGCTAGAGTCTTCCTGCCTGCCACTCCGCAAGGGCGTGATGATTGAAAGCTTTGTTTGTACACTGGTAGCAGTGTTCTTCTTTCTGGCAAGGGCAACCGGCTGCGCCAACTTGCTGATTTCACTGTCCTTGGATGAGCAGTAGTTCGCAGACAGAGACAAATAGTGGTTAGAAATGTTTGAAACGATATTCTCTGTCCAACTCAGTTATCAAGCCCTACTGCTGCCTAAGGGCCAGAAATCCCGCAAGTTGTGAAAGAAGGCTACAGGCAGTAGCTTGCGTAGCTTTCGCCTCCCGCTTCGAGTTGCGTTGACTATTCAGAAATTCAGCTCAGGATCCAGCATGGCTCTGCTAGAAACAGTCCCAACTCCAACATGTCGTGAAACATGGGTCGGCAACATAGCGTCTCTTATTCATCCAAGACACGTGTCCAAGCAAAATGCCAGGACTGAAGTCAGCGAACATAACGCCGGCGATGTGCTGATCCATGTCCGCGTTGGATCCTGCAGTTGCGATCAAGAACAAAAAACGATTGAACAAACAACGGTTGAACTGTCAAAAACGAGTACGCCAGGCCTCATTCGTGGAAATCGTCCGCTGAACCATGAGGAATTACCCAGTTCAGTGGAAACCGGGTGTGCGGGCCGTGTTCGACAGCCAGCTGAGGAAGGTCCCGAATAAATTGAGGGCGAATGTGAATGACAAATTTGCCAGTTCTTGCACACATGTGGATGATGTCGTCAAAAAGTTGGATTGCTGCCCGATTGCGGGTGATAGAAATACGAGAATTTCGCAAAGTCCACAACAAGCGACAGCAGCATACTGGTCGGGATGACTTTCTCATGGAAAGTAGTCCGGGTCGAGCGCGATTCTTCCTGGGCTGATGCCGGTCGGCCTGTGTTCAAACAACAAGAAGGATTTCCCCTGAAAGAAAGCGATTGGATGTGAACCAGTGTGTGTGGGGGGGGGTTCTGCTTCAAGTTAATGATTCGATCCAAGGATTCTTCCTAGTTTCCGAAGCATTCTCAAACACTGTCTTCTCCAGCGGTATGCCCCCCCCGGGCCACATTTGGCGGTGGAAACACCAGCTCCAGGATCTTCATCAGCGAAATGGCTACGTTGTTAGCACTCTATGAATCAGGTTTGATTAGATCAGCGAGGTGCGCGGTCAGAATCTTGCAGCCAAATAGCAACAGCGACAGCGTTTTCAAGCAGTTCCCATGACATACCTACAGTGTCCTCAAAATCCATTGAGTGGATTTGCGTGGATTCAAGTGGGTTTGATGGATTGAGTGGATTCGAGTGGATTTGAGTGGAGTCGAGTGGGTTTGAGTGAGTTTGAGTGGATTTGAGTGAATTCGAGTCGATTCAAGTAAGCCTTTAAACATGTCATTGAGTAGGTGGGTCGGTTCTGGTGGATCAGCCCTAGCCCCCCTGATTCTAGTGGATCGTACTTCACTTGTCTAGATGCGTTGCCCATGGTTGTTGTTCCAGCTACTTGATCCGCATACTTTGGTTTATGTGTCACTCACCCGGCTAAGTAATTGAAGTGAGAACCATTCGAGCCACTGTCTTCTCTTGCCTTGGGATCTGTTCCTTGGCATTTGTCAGGTACTTGTACCATCAAACTGTAGTGTGGTAGACTTTCGAGGCTCAAGGTTGAGGGTAGTTGCCTCTTGCATTTTCAGAGATCGCCTCAACTGATTGGTGGTCCTACCTTGGTCAGCTAGTTGTGTCTGACTCGGCTGAGCAGAGTTGGAGAACTTCGCCAATTATTCAACCAAAAGAGCAAAAGGGTTCGCGACTAAAAGGTTGAGGGTTTGGGGGTCAGGAGTTGACCAACACACGTGCGTCTTTAGGGTGATGTTTGCGAGGCTAACTTTAGGATGTCTTTGCGGTTGCCTTCGGTGATGTAGCTGGGATGACTTGCGGGGATGTTTTCAGGATGAAAATCGGATGTCTTTAAGATAATGTTTTTGGGGGTGTCTTTGCGGTAGTGTTTTTTCGCCCGCGCTTGTAGAGGGAGCGGCGTTCTTCTGGCGGAATTCCCGCGGAAGGTTTGCGGAAACTGTGTGGTTTGATATGGACTGGTGCTGCTTCTGCGCATGGATCGGCATGGAGAAGCTGCGCGCGACAAACGCAACGCTTACTATAGGAGAGCAGCTGGGGCCAAAACAGCTGGTAGTGAAGCCCAAGCCGACAGGCTGCGCAGCAACACAGGCGGAACATTACGCACTTGCACAAGCTTCCAGCCGCCCCATCGCTGCGCAAGGCAGAAGCTTGCAGCGCAGGCTGCTGCCGGGAAGTGTTTCTGAGTTTGTTACTCCACTTTCGCACCCCTTTTGGCACCAATACTCCCGGAAACCAGGCTTGTAAACACGCGGAAGGAAGAAGAAGCAAGCGATGAAATTCCTGCACAGTGTATGGGCCTCGGCTGAACTCAGGCTCTGCGCAAGAAGGCTTAGATTAAGAATTTGCTGTTGGGGGCACGGGCTTGTTTTTAGGCTTGTGGGGTTTGAGGCAATAGAAGACGAACAATGCTTAACAAGGTCAGCTGGGAAAAATGAGCATGTGTCTCTTCCCCAAAACCGGGTCCATTTTCAATATCTTGCTTGATTTGGGCACCCTTGGTTTATCGGTGACCGGCGTTAATTCCTGTCTAGCATTGGGGACCGTGAGGTTTGGCAATGATGTGTTTCATTGAACAGGCAGACATGGCAAAGTTTCGCCACGCCACGCCCTGCTGGGGCTGTGAGAACAACTTGAGCGAGAGAAGGTTGGTGTTTTGTCACAGAGGTTTCTTCAAGACAATGGCAATGCCATAGCAGCACACAACTGAGCGCGTTTGACAACTGAAGGGTCGGCGCCATCTAGACCAGCAAGTGTTTGATTTAGAAGCGCGAGGTGAGTCGGAGCAAGGCATTGAAGGACATGACCAGCAATGGCAGCAAGGGTCTAAGTTTGATGCTTTCCTTTGCGCCCGGAGTGATACCTTCTTGTTGCTTTCTATCTGCAAACTGGAGGGCTGCTGCCGGCCATAGATGTGTTCGGTCGGCCGGGACTTTCGCTGTTGGCTTCAACGCGCAGCGCATACGCTTTCCATGGTGAAGGATGTGCGCTTGATCGCCGCTGCTTGCCCGGGTGCAACATGTGGCGGTTGGATGAACGGTCGAACACAAGGTTGCGTTTTCTTTTAGTCAGATATTTGCGACAATCTCAAGACTGTTGCCCATTTTTTCGTCGAACCGCGTTGGTTCGAAAGTAAACTTGTATTGCGAGAAGGTGCACGAAGCGGAAGTTTTGGCTTCAACTTCCACAGTGCGTTGGGTGCAACAGCAGACACAAAAGCAGAGATGTGGTCCAAACAGCAGTACATGAAAGTCACAGACGGAACATATGGTTGACAAAGCAAGACATTGAGAGTGAATGGGGAGGGCCAGCGCCCGTGAAAGTACAGTTCTTAACACTCAGCATGTAACGGTTTGGGGCAGATGAGTGTCAGATGATGACCAGGGCAATGAAGGGTGCTTAATGTTGGAGGAGGTTGTTTTTGCGGCGCGGGCGCACGCTTCAACTTTCACGCGCGCTCGCCTGGCAACCTGCGACCCAACCCAAGCTTCTAGAGCTTACCTGGCCAATTGCCGCCTCACAACAGCCAAAGAAGTTCATAAAGCGCGAATGTCCAAAAGTTGAACGCTGAATCTGAGCTTGGTACTCAGTTTTGCATAGGCCGTCGGAACTTTTCAAAACGCTTCAATGTCGTCCACACGAAAGACATGACCTGTTTTGACACTATCATTTTTGTGTCTGCCAGAAACTTTTGGCAGCTCGTCTACGGCTGGGTAGAACCCTTTTCTCTCAAGCGACTTGACTGAGATGCGAACCTTGCCTTCAGGTTTTCCTGCCCAAGCCTGAGCGCGCGCGAAAAGATGACGGACTGCTATTCCGGGGTGTCTACAAGAGAAGACAATCTGCACAAACTCTTCGTTGAAGCCATGGCGATGCCCAAAGCAGACTTCGAGATGGTTTTGGACAGCTCTTGGCCGCTTTGCGCTAGCTGGACGTGTGTTTGCAATGTAGCGCGATTGCGGTGCTTCGTCATTGTGTGTTTCTGTGTTCGTGTCTTTTGCGTTTGTGTGTGTTCGTGTGTTGCGTGTTCAGGTTTGTGTTTGCGTGTGTTTGTGGATTTGGGCCGGAGCCGGGGGGGGTGTTGCGTTTAAGATTTTCAGGGCCTATCAGAACGCGCGCGCTCGGTTTTTGCATAACTCAGCAAGTTTCCGTGTTTGTGGTTTTGACTGAACTCCAACTCCTCTTTCTTTATGTCAATGTCCATGTCCCTTTCTCTTTGTCTTCTCTCTTGCTCTGTCCTTCTTTCTATGCACTTTTCAAAAGAAATTTGACAACTTCCAAAGCTCTGGGATGGGTAGTGGCTCTTCTAGGGAATGCACAGACCTCGTGCATCAAAAGGAACAGGAGCGGGTAGCCCAGGCGATGCTTCAAAAGAAGAAGGTAAGACTATGCCACGGGGTAGAAAAGCTTCAGCTTGGCTTTCCTGTCCCTCTCTCTGTCTCTCCTTTTCTTTTTTCTCTCTATGCGTAGCCCTGTCCCTTTCTGAGTGTCTGCTTTTGTTGATGCGCGCCTCGGGTGGGCAATGTTTTTGCTTGTGTCTAGATATGTGTATATATATATATATTTATACATGTATTTATGTATTTGTTGAAGATGGGCAGTGGTTACCGTTGCTTGACATGGTCTAGGGTGAGACTATACTGTGGCCTAGGATAAGGGTACACACGCCTCTATTCAAATCGACAGGAGCGGGTTTCAGGCTCCTTCAAAACGGCAGGCAGGATTATGCCCTGGGGTAGATCTTCAGCTTGGCATGCCTTTGAACATGCTTTTCACACATATTCTCAATGTTTCACTGACAGTTTGTTGCTGTTGCTTGATATAGAGGGCTGGGGTCAGGGGTGGAGCGGGTTGGGGGTCAGGTCATGCTTGGGATTGTGCTCAGCTGGCTTGCCTTCCAACTCCTCGATGTCCATGCCCCTTTGCTCGATGTATGTCCCTGTCTTTTTCTCTGTGTCTGTTACACCTGCTTCTAGCTTCTTAACAGGTAGATACTTGGATAACTCATAGAGAACATGCACTTATGACATGTAGTGGCTGCTGTTGCTTGATGCGGTCTAAGGTAGGTCTTTGATGGGGCGTGTGGTAAGGGGTGCAAAGGTCTCCTGTAAAAGCAGCAAGGGCGGGTAGGCTCAGGCTATGTTTCAAAAGAGGAAGATAGGACCTCATTTTGGGGTCGTGAAATATTGAGTGTGGACGCTGCGGGGGCCTGTGTTTTGCAGTGAAAGCTGTGTGTTTCCTCAAAAAACAAAGTTTCTCTTTTAGGGCAAGGCGTTTCTACGTTCCACTGCTTTCTTGCTTCTCTAAGAACAAACGACCGACTGATCAGAAAGTGTGTTGATGACCCATGGAAGGTGCAAGTAGAATAAGTTATTCTCCTACCGCCTCTCGTACCTTCTATTGCATGCCACCTGTAAGCATAGGAGCTAGAGATCCTATCCCTAATGGTGCAGATATTTGTTGCCCACTTGCCAGGTGGTCTGCCTCACCTCTATCTACTAGCAAGGTGTCTTGCGATCTGCCTGTAGCTGATTCAGAATGGCAAGCGGGGATAGCCCCTCGTTTCAGGCCGAAATACACTTCTCTCCCCAAGCTCAGATAGCCGCTTGGTAGCCTACGGCAAGTGCATTTTGTTCACTTGCACAGGCCTTCATTCCACCAACCCTTTGTGAGCTTCATGCGCGCCAACAGCGAACAAGGATCTGACCGCATCCACGTCCTGTAGCTCACAAGAGTGTAGTGGGCAGTTGTGGTGATGAGGCTCCTCCCCCGCATGTTGAAAGAAATGCACAAACTATAGGCCAGCAAGCTGCTACCTGAGCTTGGGGATTGAGGCCATGGATTGCTGGCAGATCATGTCATGCTGAATCGAGGAAAAGATCACTAATCATATTGCCAGTAGATCCGAAAATCTGAGTGTCAAGGCAGACCAGCAAGTGGGCAACATTCGTTTCTGCATCATTGGAGATAGGATCTCCAGCTCGTATGTTTGCTGGTGGCACGCTAGAGATGGTACGGGAAGAGGTAAGAACATATTTTTTTCTGCTTGCACTTTTCAGAGGTCATCAACACAATTTCTGATCAGTAGGCTTGCTATGGTCAACCCCAAAAAAACTTATGTTCAGAAACATGCTTTGAGCTACCTTGCGCCACACGAAAAACCACTAGCTGCTTGCTACAGATTTCATTGGACCAAGGTCCATGGCTAGCAGCCTGATGACACTGCTGCAGATTGGTCTTTCCTTTGGCAACTGTTGCTGTGTGCCAAAGCCACGTACACAAACATGTTCCATCCAATTCCACCTAATTGAATTGCCATGGAGGGTGTGACGCACAAGGCAAGCCGTGAGAATTCTACACGCAAATGAGCCGACGAGCAAAATGCTTTTGTTTTTCTAGGACTAGCCCTGTGCAACCAAGCCCTTCTTGCCGCAAGTGTTTGCTCGTTAAAGGTGAGCGCAAGAGGCTGGCCAGTATGGTGCTATTCATTCAAAAGTTAAGCAGCAAACACTCGCTAAGTGTATAAACTATTAAGATGCATGGCTCAGTGCGTAAAAATAGTGACCCATTGAATTGTTGACATTGAGCCTCCAAAACTAGCATACCGTGTTCCAGGGAGAAAATCATGTCGCGCGAGCCCAATCCAGCCTATGGCGCGCTATCCAACGCCATGGCTTTTGATATGGTTGACTATTCAAAGCAAACCGTTGGTTCGTACGTCTAGGCCAGCCGGCCACAAAATTGAGAAAGGCGCTGACCCCGTTCTGCCCGCATTGCGCAAGATGACAACGAAACAACTGAGCTCATCCGCGTGTAAGATCTTGATGAAGGTGGGACGCCTCGCGCGACCTGACATCATCAAGCCTGTCGGGGATCTTGCGCCGTGCGTCCAAAAGTGGCCCCGTAATAATGATAGGCAGTTGGCTAGGCTAATGGCTGGTATTAGTACGACCACCACGCACCGTATGGTTGGAACAGTTGAGGACGATTCTAAGGAGCTGAGTCTTGCGCTCTACGTTGACGCCGGCTTCGCTGGAGGCAGGAGCGAAGTCCACTTCAGGCGGGTTTCTCGCCATGAAGGATCCAAACTCCCACTTTCCGCTTGCGTGGATCAGCAAACGCACATTCTCTTTGTGCCAGGAAGGGCTCCCGACTCTTAGCCTGCGGGATCGACTGCTGGGTCGCCCACTGAGGATTCATGAGGATAACCTAGCTACTACAAGAAAAGGTCATTCTCCTAAGTTGACAGAGAGCAATCTCCAGGACGCATAGGGTCAACTTGGCGTCCCCCGCAGGCAGTTGCAAGAAGGCGCAGGGGCAGAGCTTGGATACGTTAAGACAGATATCCAAGCAACAGATATCTTCACCAAGGCTTTGCCTCCACACAAGTGGGACCGTGCCTTGAGGCTCTTCGGGATGCAAACCCATCTTCCCGAAGAGCGAGAAGATAGGTTCAAAACCCAGCCCTAGCAAGCCTTCCCGACTGGTTTGCTACGAGCGCCAAAAGGTGCCTTTATCCTTAACTTCAGTCTCTTAAACGTCGTTATGAGCCGAGAGCTGCCTTTGGTGGCTCAAGCACGGAGAAAAAGCGCCTCGCCCACTGAAGCCAAGGGTCAGAAAGGATTACTAATCGTTAATCAACCCACTTCTTGTTCAGGGCGCATCCTCTGGCGCGCGTTTGGGGTTTCTTGCTCTTTTGAGTAATCATCGTTGTAATTATTGTAATTATTTTCCTTCGAAAACAATAATTGCAATAATTTTCATTCGTACAATAGTTCCAATACTTATAAAACTTACAGAATTACAATATTACTGGTTCCTGGCCAAGCCGGAGAGGAAGATAATGACAACAATATCAAAAACTAGAATATCTGCAACAATTGCAAAGCTGCCAAGGCTGAAACATGTCCTGAGAAGGCTGGCGTTCAAATAGGCCTTAACATTCCCTGTTAGAGGGGGGTGTCGTGTTTCTTTGTCTGTGTTTTGTGCCTGGTTTGCGTGCTGGTTTGTTTGCTTGCTTGCTGGCTTGCTCGCTTCCTTGCGTCGCTAGGTTGTGTACGTTTGTGTGCTTGATGTTTGTTGTTGTTAGCTGCTTTTGTGTTGTTGTTTGCTTGTGCAATTTGTGGCATTGGCATCAGTGCTTTGTGCGTTTCTGTTTGTTTGTTTCTTTGTTTGCTCGCTCGCTTGTTTGTTTGTTTGTTTGTTTTTGTTTTCTCGTTTTTTTGGTTTGCGTGCTTGTTTTTTGGATTGATTGCTTGGTTGTGGTTTTGCGTGAATGTGTGTTTTCTGCGTTCATGTGCTTGTGGGCTTGTGGGTGTGTAGCTTCGCGGGTTTGTGGGTGTTGTTTTTGTGCGTTTCAGTGTTTTTGCGGTTGCGTGTTTTTGTGTGTTTGCGTGTGTTTGCGGGTTGCTCGCGCGTGTGAATTTGCTGGCGCTTGCGCGTAAGTGTTCAGACATTTTTGGTTGTTCGTTGTTTGCCTGCGAGTTGTTGTTGAATGTCTTTTTGTGTAAGTCGCCACCACCCGACAACAGACAATTTCACAGCCTATGACAGACCCTATCGACAGACAGCTATGTCAGATATTATCTACGTTAGGTCTTCATGTCCGTGGCGTGAGCAAACTGAGCAAACACGCCGGGATGCGTTCTGATACAAGTGCTTGGCGCTGGCAAAGGGCGTGATCAATCGGATTTGCGATGAGCATGAAGATGAACGTGATGATGATGATGAGGGTGATGTCAGGCACGCCAGGGTTCGGGCTGTCACTACTCGTGGCCTGTCAGAACGTTGCAGCTGCCTGTCTCCACAGGCTCTGTCGTGGACATGTGTGTTTTTACGGCTTGTTGGCGCGCGCAATCTTTTTAAAGGCGCGCATGGTCGGCTTCTGCGAAAGCAGTACGCCGGCAAAACATGCGGTTTTTCGTTGTTTGAGGCACGCCTTCGCAGATTTGTCGCACTTCTCCGGCGCACGCCCCATAGTCTCTTGGCAGGTTGGACCTTTCGTAAGTCTGTGAGGCGCCCCCTCCCCGAAGTTGAGATGTTTCGTCTTGACTCGCCCTTTTCTTAGTTCTTGGGCTCGCAGATAGCGGCGCGTCAATTTACTGTATTTGCTTCAACCTGCGATGCGCCAACTTTTGCATGGCAGCGGGCTTTCTGAGCAATCGAAGCATATTGCACGCTTGGCACGGCGCAGGCGTTGTTGTCATTAAGCCGTTGGTGGTGCGTTGTAAACGCCGCCGTGTGGCGAGATCTTTGCACACGCCATTTGCTCAGAGCTGTGCTTGAAAATGGCATGCTGACGCATCAGGTGCCACTTCCGACAGCAGCTTCTTTGTGCCTACGAGCCGCTGGGTCCAAAGGGTTTATTGAGTGGTTGTTTGTCAAAGTTCTTTTGCTGCCAACCCGATTTTTCCCGAATGCGTAGCAGAAGGGTTCCCGTTATAGAAGGGGGTCAGCATGTGTTCGCCAGACGCGTCGCTGTGTTCGCAAGCGTCCGCAAGGGCCCGAAAGCGTTCGCAAGCGATCGCAGGCGTCCACGAGTGGAACGTAAAGCCGTGTCGTTGGGGAAAGCGTTTTACACGTCGCTTGGATGACTTGACGCGTGTCATTTTTTGAGCCCCTGTGCGGGAATCGTAGCTTCTCAAGCTGGACGTATCGTTTCGCTGCGCAGGCGCAGTGTTTTGGAAGGCTGCGTGTTCTCATTGCCGTGCCAATGGGATTCGCGATCCAGGGATGGTCGCTGTGAGGTGTCCTGCTTGGCAGGCGTGTGATAGTGGTTGCGCCGGCGCCGTTTTCGTTGGCCCTGTCGTGCAATCGGCTCGCTTTGGCGAGCCTGAAACATATTGGATTTCGTGGCAGGTCCAGCAGTTTCGATGATTTTGAGTTTGCGGCAAGCTTGCTTTGCGTGACAGGCGCAGCACTTTCGATCGTTTTGATTGAATTTCGTGTCAGGCGCAGCACTTTGGAGCTTCTCGTGCAAATTTCGTGGCAGGCGCAGTACTTTGGCACCTGGGTCTAGATTTCGTGGAAGGCACGCCACTTTGACTCGCGGTGCACATGTTGAGAACGCGAAGCGAACCCTCTGCGCACTTTAGGTGGGTCAAATCGCTCTCGGCGCGGTGCCAATTTTGCGAACGCGAAGCGAACCCTCTGCGCACTTCGGGTGGGTCAAATCGCTCTCGCTGTGGGGCGGTGCACATTTTGAGCATGCGAAGCGAACCCTCTGCGCACTTCGGGTCAAATCGCTCTCGCTGTGGCGCGGTGCGCATTTGGAGATAGAAGTGTCGTTCAAAAGTGTCGATCACAAGTGTGCACGAGAGGTGTCGTTCAGAAGTGTCGATTAGAAGTGTCCTTCAGAAGTGTCGATCAAAAGTGTCGCTTAAGTGTGGATCGGAAGTGTCGACAGAAGTGTTGCTCGGAAGTGTCGATCAGAAGTGTTGCTCAGAAGTGTCGATCAGAAGTGTCAAACAGAAGTGTTGCTAGACTTGCCCCAGAAATGGTGTCAGAAGTGTGGGTCCGAAGTGTTGATGAGCAGTGTGGATCAGACGTGTTGTTCAGAAGTGTCACTCAGAAGTGTCGTTCAGAAGTATCGCTGAAAAGTGTCGCTCAGAAAGTGTCGAACAGAACTGTTGCTCGAAAGTTTCGATCAGAAGTGTGCTCAAAAGTGTTGCTCAGGGGTATCGCTCATTGCTCAGAGGCGTCGCTCAGAAGTGTCGCTCAGGAGCGTCGCTCATGTCGCTGAGATATGTGTGTAGAAATGTTGCTTGAACTGTCTCTCAGGCAGCAGTGTGACGTGTCGCTCAAAGGTGTTTTCAGAGTGTCGCTCAGGAGTGCCGCGCAGTGTTGCCCAGAAGCGTTGTTCACAGTTGTCGCTCAGAAGTGTCGCTCAAAAGCGCCGCTTACATGTGTGTGTGTGTTTGCTCAGAAGTGTTGCTCGGAAGTGCTGATCAGAAGCATCGGTCAGAAGTGTCGCTCAGAACTGTCGATCAGAGGTGCTGGTCAGGGGTGTCGATCAGCAGTGTCAAATCAGAAGTGTTGCTGAAAAGCGTTGCTCGGAAGTGTCGGTCGGAAGTGTTGCTCAGCAGTGTGGATCAGAAGTGTTGATCACAAGTGTCGGTGAGAAGTGTCGATCAGAAGTGTTGCTCAGCAGTGTCGATGAGCAGTGTGGATCAGAAGTGTTGACCAGAAGTGTTGCTCCCTCAGAAGTGTTGCGCAGAAGTGTTGCTGTGAAGTATCGATCAGGAGTGTGGATTACAAGCATCGATCAGAAGTGTTGCTCAGAACTGTCGATCGTGGTGTCGCTCAGAGGTGTCGATCAGCAGTGTCGAATCAGCAGTGTTGCTGTGAAGTGTGTGTCAGAACTGTTGCTCAGAAGTGTTGCTCAGAAGTGTCGATCAGAAGTGTCGATCAGAAGTGTTGCTCGGAATTGTCGCGCAGAAGTGTCAGTTTGAAGTGTTGCTCAGACGTGTCGCTCAGAAAACTGATTTCAGCAGTATTGCTCAGAAGTGCCGCTCAGAAGTGTCGATGAGCAGTGTGGATCAGAACTGTCGATCAGAAGTGTTGGTCAGAAGTGTCGCTCAGAATTGTCACTCCAAAGTGTAGATCAGAAGTCTTGTGTTGCTCGGATGTGCCGGTTGGAAGTGTTGCTCAAAATGTCGCTGAGAAGTGTTGCTCGGAAGTGATTGACAGAAATGTCGCTGAGAAGTGTCGTTCAGAAGTGTCGATGAGCAGTGTGGGTCAGAAGTGATTGTCACAAGTGTTGCTCAGAACTGTCGATGAGAAGTGTGGATCAGAAGTGTTGCTCATCAGTGTCAATCACAAGTGTGGTTCAGCAGTGTTGCTCAATCAGAAGCGCGGATCAAAAGTGTTGCTCGGAAGTGTCGATCAGAAGTGTTGCTGAAGTCAATCAGAAAAGTCGATCAGAAAAAGTGTCGCTCAGAAGTGTTGCTCCGAAAGTATCGATCAGAAAAAGTATGGCTCAGAAGTGTTGATCGGGTGTCGCTCAAAAGTGTCGCTCAGAAGTGTCCATCAGAAGTGTGGGTCAGAAGGGTGCCTCGAAAGTGTCGATCAGACGTGTCGATCAGAAGTGTTTCTCAGAAGTGTCGCTCAGAAGTGTCAATTCAGCAGTGTTGCTCAGAAAAGTCAATGAGAAGAAATGTCGCTCAGAAGTGTTGATCAGGCGTCGCTCAACAGTGTCGCTCAGAAGTGTCAATGAGAAGTGTGGGTCGGAAGTGTTGCTCAGAAGTGTTGATGAGAACGGTTCCTCAAAAGTGTCGATCAGAAGTGTCGATCAGAAGTGTTGCTCAGAAGTGTCGCTCAGAAGTGTCAATTCAGCAGTGTTGCTCAGAAATGCCGTTCAGAAGCGTCGATGAGCAGTGTGGATCAGAAGTGTTGGGTACAAGTGTTGCTCAGAACTGTCGATGAGAAGTGTGGATCAGAAATGTTGCTCATCAGTGTCAATCAGAAGAGCGGATCAAAAGTGTTGCTCGGAAGTGTCGATCAGAAGTGTTGCTCAGAAAGGTTGATCAGAAAAAGTGTCGCTCGAAAGTGTGGCTCAGAAGTGTCGACCAGAAAAAGTGTGGTTCAGAAGTGTTGGTCACAAGTGTTGCTCAGAACTGTCGATGAGAAGTGTGGATCAGAAGTGTTGCTCATCAGTGTCAATCAGAAGTGTGGTTCAGCAGTGTTGCTAAAACAGTCGATCAGAAGTGTCAATCAGAAGTGTGGATCAAAAGCGTCGCTCAGAAGTGTCAATCACAAGTTGTGCTCAGACGTGTCGCTCAGAAGTCTAGCACGCGCTGGAAAATCGCAACCTTGGGTTTAAGTCTAGTGCGCGAAGCACAGGTTTCCAGCTCTAGCTGGAAAATCGCAGCTTTGTAGCACAAGTCTAGCGCGCGAAGTACAGGTTTCCAACTCCAGCTGGAAAATTGCGACTTTGTTGTGCAAGTCTAGTACGCGAAGTACAGGTTTCTAGCTTCTAGCTGGAAAATCGCGACTTTGTAGTACAAGTCTAGTGCGCGAAGTACAGGGTTCTAGCTCTAGCTAGAAAATCGCGACGTTGTAGTTCAAGTCTAGCGCGCGAAGTACAGGTTTCCAGCTCCAGCTGGTAAATTGTGAATCTACAAGTCTAGTACGCAAAGTACAGGTTTCCAGCTCTGTCTGGAAAATCGCAACTTGGTAGTACTGGAGAATCGCAACTTTGCAGTACAAGTCTAGTGCGCGAAGTGCGCAGGTTTCCAGCACTAGCTGGAAAGTCACAACTTTGTAGCGCAAGTATAGTACGTGAAGTACAAGTTTCCAGCTCTGGCTGAAAGATCGCAACTTTGAAGTGCAAGTATAATACTCGAAGTACAGGTTTTGAGCTCCAGCTCGAAAATCGCAACTTTGTAGCACAAGTCTAGCACGCGACGCGCAGGTGTCCAGCTCCAGATTGAAAATCGTAGCCTTGTAGCAACAAGTGGAGCACGCAAAGTACACTTTTACAAGCTGAAAAACATAGTTTGCGCAGTAGGCTTGATTGCGAGCCCCATTGGCTTATACCGAAAAATGGTCTCTCTAATTATTTCCTGGGGCTTGCGCAAAGTGATGCGCATGTTTGTCTTGTGCTTGTCTTCTTTTAATCTCGTCAAGCCATTGCCACGGTGCAGTTTCACATGTTGGGCATGCCAACGCCATCTTGTCTGGGTCCGACAAAACTTTCATTTCACGTTGCTTGCAAGCCTGCAGCGCAACTGGGCTTGCAAAGCGCAACTGCGGCAGTAAGAGCCGGTTCGGGGCGCCACGCTGCAAACAAACCGGCGTGGCGGTGGGAGCCGCGAAATCAGGAAGATTGACGGCCGCGCGGCCTCTTGCACCCCAACTCTGGGACGTTCCGCTCTTTTCGTGGATTTGAAAATGTTTAGGTGCCCTCGCTGCTTGTTCACGAACCAACTTCCTGGCGGCAGCAAAGGCCTTACCCCTTTCAAGATGGTTTGTCATCGGCCGGCCTAGAGGGTAAGCCTGGCTAAGGCGACGACTGGATGCGCCCAAGCCGACGGAAGTAGTGCCAGGGCCCGGGTGCTTTGAACGCTCCTGGCGTGAGTGCCTTGAAGAAGGGCGGCAGGGCCAGAGATTCCCAGTCTAGGGTTCTAGGCCGCGGGACAGCGCAATGGAGTATGGTGAGGGAACCTGCAAAACGGAATGCAAGGGTTAGGTGCTCTTTGCGCAGGCGCGAGGTAGCCAAGGAATTTGCCAAGACGGTCCCCATGAAGTAGCGCGTGTCCGATTGGGGCTGTGTAAGTTCCTGTCAGAAGGCTTCACAGGTAACATTCTGAACCTGCACGCTTTCCACGCATATAAGTTGCGTTTGAGGGTTTTCAGGCAACCTTCTCTGGGCTTCCGCCTGCTGGGCTAAGACCAAGTTCTTGTAGTCCCGCGTAGCCAGTTGTTATGTTTGCGCAGAAGTTAACTTAACAAGTCTTTGCATTTGTCTGTAAGCTTGGCGAAAGATCACGAGCTTTGCCACAGAGCACAGACCTTGCCCGCTTTGTGAGGCTTGCGCGCCTGCCTTGCTCCAAGCTTCCGTTGCGCGTTGCCCTTTTCCTGAGCCTTGATTTGCAGGTTTTTGACGTTTCCCGTTTGCGCGCGAAGCCGGCTTCTGTAGAAGTTGCGAAACACGCCTGTTTCGAGAAGAAGGCTATTTGCAGGAGCGCACGATTTCTAGCACTTGTGCTTGTGATTGACAGCAGCGTCTTTACAATCCAATGACTGGGCAATGCCAGTCTCTGCAGGTTTTTGTGCGCTTCAGGATTGGTATTTGCTTCAGGGCATTGCGATGTGAGCGTGAGAGCGCTTCCTGGCCAAGGCGCGAACCAGAGACTAGAGAAGATCGAGAAGGGCGTCGTGTGGTGTTCGACACGCCTGAGACACCAGTGAGAAGCTCTTCAGACAGTTTCTTTCGCCTAGCCGCTGCTCACCTCGGGCTTTGCTTGTGGTGCTTGATGTCAAATCCTGATGTTTCTGGACGTGTGTGTTTGCGCCAACCGTGCTCGGACTTCGCAAGCAAAATAAGCGGCCTGGAAAGCCCATTAAGCTTCCACAAGAAGTTCCCTTTTTCGTGTGATTTCTTGCGCAGAACTGCTGTGCCAAATCTTGCCCGACTTTCCACTTCTAAAGGCCCCGCCAGATGGCTCCGTGCTGCGAGGCCCTGAGTCGAGTACCAACTTCGTCGCTCAGAACAGTGAGGGCAGCAGCACGGAGAACATCGCGCACGGCAACAGCACCAAATTGTTGCTGCCTGGCAGTAAGCACCATTCTCGTGCGCGCGCATGCCTGCCTGCGCTTTTTTGCGTTTGTTGGCGCACTTGGCTGTTGTGGCGCGGGTTTGTGTGTTTGTGTGTCTGCGTCTGTGAAACCTGCATGCTTGTGGCATGGATGTGGTTGTGGAAAGCCTCAACATGTCCTGGCGGTTTGGCTCACAAAGTAGACAGGATGACTTGCCCAGTTTAGGTAGCACCAGCACTCAGACTCTGCGCGGTTCAGGCTTGACCCTTGGGCTTTGGAAACTGTGTCCGTGTTTGTTTCTGTGTTGAGGTGTGTCTGACCTGCGCGAGTGTGCCCGCACGTGCGTGCGTGTTCGTGTTTGTGTGTGCGCGGGCACGCGGGAGCGTGGGAGCGTGGGAGCGTGGGCGTGGGCGCGTGGTCAGATTAAACATGACCGTTCAGATTAAACATGACCTAACTGCAAATTTACGCGCCCCAATTTTTCGATCAAAGCCCGGCGGCTTTCCCCCAACACTGTCTGTAACCCCCCAACCACAGGCAGCCGCGCGACAAAATACAAGCTCACTTCTTCAACTTGCGTCGCGCGTGCCGTGTTTTGCTGCGATGGAGTTCATGGCTGAGTGCCGCGGAGTTTGATTTTTGAGCCGAAAAAGAAAACCCGTTGTATGTGTCAATGTATGGCATGGTCCCAGTTGTTTTGGACGCATGCAATCAGCTGTACTGCCGCTTGTAATTTGAAGGGCAGGAGTGTGTTGCAGGAGCGGCCGCGCAAGTCAAACACGGGGCTGCGCAAGTAAAGCGCAAGTCACGCAGTGATGATTCATCATCACGATCATCATCACCATGGCCCAAAGATGGCCCAAGTTTTCGCGCGAGTCAAGCGAGGCCCGCAGATGCCCCCAAGCTGCTTGGAGCAGGAGTGGCCCATTTCGGTTTTTTGCATTTTCTTTTTTTCAGCAATTTTGTCAAGTGAATTTGTTAGGAAAATTTGTTTGCAGCGATGTGCACACATGAGACCGCACACGCGTAAAGGGGCATGCTATTGGGGGACCTCATGCTTGTGCAGACCGCCGGTTGGCTTTGCAATGAAATAGCTTGGGTGAGAGGTTTTTTTCCATCTCATTTGAGCTTTCTGCGAGGCATGTTGAGTGACACCATGGGAGACCTTTTTCAACAATTTTGACATAAGACCTGTCTGCCTAGGCCCCATGCCGCCATGGCCGAATCGAGCAGAGACCGCCGCACGTCTCATCAATTTGACAAGTCTCTCGAACGCTCAACCCCACTATGGCAGGCGTAGCACCAGCCTCTCTGAAGGCCGCAGCACACAAGCAACTTGTGATGGCGGCAGCAACCGCAAGAAACTTCTCCGTGACATATGGAGGAGTCGCGCCACTTGAGCTAGCGTTTGGACGCAGGCCAGTAGAGCTTGTCCAACTCAACACAGCTACACCACCACAACTCGCAATTGCTAAAACGGAAGAAGAGTTGACATCTGGGCAGATTCGACTACTTGCGCATCCGGCGAGACTTTGACTAAATATTTTATTGAAGTTAGGACAAATCAAAGATTAAACATGGAATGTGGTTAAAGGGCCAGGTAATATCCACAGATGGCACCATGGATGGCGTAGACTTTGAAACCAGACTTCTCAAAGTCCACATCACCAAGTTGAGGAATGATGAAACCAGGTCCTACCTGAAAGTTCGTACGGATCTTGACCATGATCTGTTTCTCAAACGCATCGTCGCCTGCCATGAGAAAATCCTCTACATGCAAGGACGTGACACCGTGGACCTGTCTACCTTGGGCGTTGTTGCCTGGGACTGGCTCCTTCCAAGTTGAATCCATAAGGATGGACATCACTGATGCCCTTGGTTGACTCAGTGATCTTCGGCACAGCGATTCGCCCGAGTGGGCACAAGGCCATAAGGCCTTAGTACTGAATCAAGGAATGACAGAGTATGTCCCGGCTACTGTCATAGGCTTCACCTCGTAGCAAGGCTGCCTTCAAATCCATTTGTGTGTTCCACCCTTTGCTTGCCGCTACCTGAACTTCCAATCTGAATCGTTTTCTTGAAGCCGCTGTGTTGTCCGTTTGTTGTTCATTCTTTTGACGCTCTTGGAAACCTCTAAGCCCCCAACGTGCTTTGGTCTTGAGGAAATTGCCTTCCTTATCTCTCTTATTGGTTAAGACCCCTGTTCTGGAAACTCAGGGAGTTTCTTACAGGGAGTTTCCTGGTGTCGACGAAGTCGAATACTTCGTTGTCCAACCAGGATTTGCGCTCCAGCAGTTTTGCTTCGAGGATTTGTCTTGTGTATGCTCCTATTCCTTGTTGTTTTGCTTCCTTACGTTTCTTTCCGATTATCTGTTGTGTTGTAGAGGCCTTGAGGGACTCTTGTCTCTCGGTATACCGTGTGAGCATTGCTCGGTCGTCACCGCTGAGGCCATGGCACCCTGACTCAATGTCGTTGTGTTGTCGTGCGCGCACGAAGGAAGAGAAGTCGTTATAGACCTCAGTGGCATGCGCTGTATGAAGACTAATGGGTCTGTCCTCAAAATCTCTTGGAGCAGCGAATGATCCAGTGTTGCTACACACTTTCTGACCATGTGTGAACTGTGTCCAGATTGCTTCATCTAGCGCCAGGTCTGAATCTTCGTCGGGTTCTTTGAGAATCAGACCTCTCCGGTTTTTCCTGATCTTCTAGCACTTCCTTGGTATTTTTCCAGGATCATCTGGTTGTGCCGGTGAAGGCAGGATGCTTGGTGAAGAACTGGGTCCTGATGAGGAGATCGGAAGTGGTGGAGGATCATGCGATGATGATGCTGGTGCTGATGATTTGGCTTCTCGTTGGCTGTTTTTGTTCTTTTTGTGTTGCTTTGCTGGTGTACCTGCTTCTTGCGTTGCATTGCCGTCATCTTCAGGTACAGGTGGAACGATTGAGCTGACTAGTCGTGGACATTGGCTGATTAGCCGATTGTGGTTGTGGTTGTCGTGGTTGTAAGACTGGTGCATCTGGGTGCACTCCTTGGATAGCTGTTGCTGGTTTTGTACCGTCGTGTCCGCCTTCACGGTCGATTGGCATGGGCCTGATCGTTTGTGCTTCTTGCACTATAGCACGTGCCACTGTGTCGGGTTTTTGTCGTTCCAGTCACATCTGTGTGCTGGAACCCAGACCTTTCCCGGTGACTTGCCACGAAATACGCAAGCGTCATCCGGTGGTCTTGTCAACGGTTAGTTGGCGACGATCACACTTGTTGTATGGTGCGTGAAGCACACAAAGATACCCCAATCTTCTTGCTCAATTATGAATGGCAACAACTCGAGAAATTCATTAGAAGATTCAATATCAAGCTCTGTTCCTGGCGGGAACTGCTTGACTGCTTGTTGAAGCTTGGTTACTTCTTTGTCATCAATGTATATAGTGGATGTTTCTGACTATTGAAAGGTAGATCCTCAATCTTTGTGTGAGCACTCGCGCTGGTCATGTTGTACTCCGCATCGATCTTGTCCAACTCTGGTCTGATGTGTGACATGTCACTGCCAGAGAATGGTGCAAAGTTATCTTCAAGAAGAAAGACCTCATTATCCAAAGGTTTGACCTTTAGGAACCTGAGGAGAACATGTGCCATCTCTTGACAGAATCACAATGGAAAAATATTGGGCACATCTTGACTGCCCCGGTTCTTAGTGTCGCCTTCAAGAGGCTGATGTTGGTGCTGTTCCTCACTAAGGGAATTGGAGCACCTTCATATTGGTCTCATGACTTCTTTAGGAAGATTACGCATGAGGCTTGCTGGTTTCACTTCTAAGCTTGGTGTCAGGGTCACAAAGACCAAATGCAAAATTAAGGTCATGCCAGGTGACCTGAGCATGTTTCATCAGTTCCATAATGGACTTAAGAGTCCATATCTTGGATGTCTGATAATTCTCCAAAATGAAATAGAGTCCTCGGTTCTGCTGGTATCTTGCGATCGAAGCTACAAAGTCGATCATGGGCAAGCGCCTGGCTCTGTTTTCTGCCAATTGACCAAGGTCCACAAACTGGTGCAAGCCAAACAACATCTGGTTGTTGCTCACGGACAATATGCAATACCATTTGACGTCCTTTTGACGTCATGATGTCAAAACCAACTCGGATGTCGATCGGTATGCCGACCTTTAAGCCTGTCAATGCGCAGCGTTGACTCATTCAAGCGCTTCCAGCAAATTCCTCCAGCACATGGATCTCACCTTTAGTCACGCAGATCCAATTTGCAAACTGAGCTTCACAACTGGTGCTTTTTTCTCTTGTGACTTGGCTGGTTCCATGAGAGCTTTATGAAGATCATCGTCGGAGGATGGCAGGTCAAATCCAGGTCTGGATGGCGACGCCTTTGTTGGACAGCGACTCCAGTGGCAACATGATCACACAGCGCGATGATTATATCAATGTTCACCAAAATGTAGCAACAGATGAACTCCAAGAGATACACTTCGATAAACATCTAAAGGATGATATGCAGCTGAACCCGGCTATGCGCGCAGCATACCGAAGTGTGCTTGGACAGACCAAATTGCTGCAGTCTAGAACCTTGGTTTCCAATTCTCAAGGCGTGCGTCCAAGGCCTCATTTCCCACTATTGTCGATGCGAGGCCCATAAATCAGACCGTCAGAACCATCAAGAGTATACCTCTTAGTATGAGATTCTGGCCCTTAAGGGTGAAACCAGATTGGTTGGATACCCTGATGCATCCTACAGGAACAACGATGACAAATCAGCGCAGCGTGCGCATGTGATTTTCCTTGCACAAGATCGGAATCTTCATATAGATTCCCCGAATTTTCGAGGATCCCTCGCTGATTGTGAAACTCATAAGACCACTGCAACTACCATGTCCACTATTGCGGCGGAGTTGCACGATTTGGTGCGTGACTTCGGCGCGTGTCTTTTCATACGAGGGCTCTGGTCAAACATATCTGGCGAACTTGCAGGTGTCCATATCCGCACAGGTGCTAGCAACTTAGTAACCACTGCTTCCACAACCCATCAACCTGAATCGAACGAAACCATGCACCTTATCTAAACTTTTCGCAAGGAGAGTTATAGTGGACAGATGCACGAATGCACTCATGAACGCTCAAAGTATTGTCTCGCAGACTGTTTGACGAAGAGCTCTGCCAAGCCCGGCGAGCTCACTAAGTCCGTCATGACAGGAATTCTTCCACGAACAAGCTGGTTGAATGGTTGGCCTACAATACTGTTGCCTACGTTGGAAAATCCTAGCAGAGAACTTTGCATATGAGGCACACCGCTTCTGGCATTCACCACGGCAGACATCTAGTGAAGGTTCCTTCGAGGAACCATGAACAGTCTTTTTGCCTTTGCAGTTGTAAGAAGCATGTCAGAACCGTTGACTCAAGCAATTTGTGTCTGCTCTCCAAAGGATGCAAAGGGATGATTTGTGGAAATTCTTTCGGGGGGGAATTTCATGTGGTTCTTCTTCTTCCTGATCGTTGTCAGTCAGGGAAGCTTGCTTGTCATCTGAATCTTCTTCTCCTCCATAGTTTGGGTTATCGCTGTCTGGTTCATCAGTGCAATGGATAGATTCTTGAGGCTCAAAGTCCTTCTCCGGCTTCGGCTGCTTAGGAGAAGCTGGTGTACCTTCGGGGTCCGGCATTTATCAGAGATACCATTTCAGGAATGACATCAGACCAAGGTTCCAGTACCTCCCGCAGAGCCAGCGTGATTACCACAATGAGAACCCTTGGCTTGCAATTCTTCAAGGTCTGGGACCATGTTGGGGATCGCTATGACGACCTCAGCAATTATTCGTCGGACGCTCAGCGTATTAACCATGCTGTGTTTGAGAGATTCGCCACTCACTGGCACATGCAGATCATTCCTACGGTAAACAATTACCAAGGGTACGTTGACATGTCGCCCACGCATCGTAATGTGAGGGCGCTGGCGAAGCTCCTCAGAACCGAGGAGAAGAAACTATGGTTGACAGCACAATTGTTGCTGCGACTCCAGGAAAAGATATCCAGAGTCATCACTGCAGGTTTGCGTCATGAGCCAGAACCTGGCACCAAACATCAACCGCTCCAAAGAGAGAAGGATGGCTTAGGGGTCCCCGGTTCGTTTTTCGGAAACCCTGTGTGGAGAGACTTTGTAGTACAGCTGTGGAAAAGAAAACGTACTCCCGGAGCTCCGGCTCGAAAATCGCAGCTTTGTAGTACAGCCGTAGAAAAGAAAACGTCGAAAGTCAGCTTTGTAGCACAGCAGTAGTAAAGAAAAAGTACTCACAGAGCTCCGGCTCGAAAGTCGCAACTTTGTAGCGCAGCCGTAGTACTCGCGGAGCTTCGGCTCGAAAGCCGCAGCTTTGTAGCACGAGCCTAGTGCAGGAAACGTGCCCCCTGTCTGTGTGTGTGTGTATTGTTTCAAGGAGGCAGGGAGACCGTAATACTAAGAACCACGGACCCTAACGCTAAAACCTTCCAGCGCAAGGGTGTGTGCCGCATGCGCTTTAAGAGTTGCAAAAAAGCTCCACTTTATAAACATGGCTTGAAGGATTAAAGGTGCAAGAAGGGCTTCCTAATAAGGCTGGATTTGGGCACGGGCGGAAAAATACAACTTTCAAAAATCTGTTTTAGTATTAGGGGACTGTTTTGCATTAGGAAGAAGGAATTGTAGCATCCCTCTTTGATGTCTCCAAGAGCAGATGTTGTGTGGCAAAACTTTACAAGGGCGAGCCCTCTGGACCTCGAGACTCCGTCAGATGGATCAAGGGCCAGAACCTTCCTAAAGGTTTGATTCAGAACAAGGAAGTCCAGCGCAGATACCTATCTCCCTTGACAGGGCAGACGCAATATTCAGAGAAAGGTTCCCAAGAAGACGCACCAGAGATGTGGCAGAGAGATCCACCAAGGCCAACCCATCCTCCTCCTGATGAGTTAAGCAGCCAAGATTTCACACACAAGGAAGCCTTGGAGGGCAAGCCAAAATCTTCTCAGCCGAAGGGAACCATGCCGGGCATCGCACCTCATATAGACGAAAAATCATCACTAGGGATGGTATGAAGGGAGTTCTTCACGACCAAAAGGTTGTTCCCGGAGTTGACAGAGAACAGAGGAAGAATCAAGAACCATTTGGTTGACATGACGGCAAATGTTCTGTCTGGAGATATCCATGGTTTCCGTTTCCATGAACTCCGACAACATCTCCTACGCGTTGCGCTGTTCTTAGACAGGTTTGATGATGATGATGAGGATGATGAGGAGAGTTTCGATACGGCCAACGATCACACATTAACCACGACCGCAAATGTTCAGGTCTCCAAGATGATCGCACACGTCGACATCTACGAGCACATCTCCAACAAGGGAATGAAAGTATTCTTTGATCCTGGCATGGCTGTGAAGGTCGCAAGTGTCGTGAAGCACGACAAGGATGTCTCAGAGCACCAGAATGGCAAATCTTCTTGAGTTGTGTCAGGCGTTTTGTTATCATGCCCGCAAGGAAAGCTCGATGAAACAAGGAAATTCAGATTCAGAAGACCCTTCGAGGAAGGCTTTTCTTGAACCCAACTCCGGCATCATGTTTAAAGGACAACCAGAAGGACCGGACCTTGACAAGCCTCCTGGCAACTGGAAGGATCCCTGGAAGCCTTCATGGTCATGGGACAGCTGGGGCCGTCGTTGGGGCGGCTACAAAAACAGCAGTATCACAGGCGTCGCAATGATTCAAGGCTTGGCTGTTTTGTCCTACCCAAATCCACAACTGGCCGATGTCTAGAGCATACTTCAGAGTCTGGTATGGACTTTAGGTCAGAATCTGAAGACTCAAAAGTTTCAATATGCAGACCAGTTGAGGGGTACCCATTCCTGCATCTCATACCCGAAGTAGCCAGACCGTCAGCAAGATGTTCCGACATCTTAATCATCAGCACCTCCGGAAATGCTCCAAGCTGGGACTCTCCTAGCAAGATCAAGGGAGTCGGGGACATGAAAGTATAAACAACCGCGCGCAGCTTGCCACACATGCTACGCTAATCTACGCATCAAAGATTGTGACTCAAACCTGAAGGTCTTCACAGAAGATTGCCATGCATTCTTTGCGTCAAGCTTTTGGCTGAGCCCATCCATGACACCCATGAAGGAGAAGTAAGGTTGCGATGCATGCTGCGCCAACCCTATGAAGACAGAGCGCCTGGTATTCACCCACGCACGCAGGCGCACACGGAAACACACACACACACAGCCTTTCGCTTTGCACAGTGAAGTCTTTGGTGACTACGCATTCGAACTGGTTTCACGCACGTAGCCACGCGTGCTTGATGTGGCATTTGCCAAGGACCAGTCTCACTCAGCGCCGACTGGCTCAATCAGGTGTGGTCCTGCACGCATGCATGCACGCATTTGCTCGTGCGCCTATGTGCGCAGGCGCAACACACTCAGGGATGCGCAGCTTGAACAGTTTGAGCTCAAGCGTTTGCAGCGCCCGATGGACAATTGTAGAGTAACACGCCAGTTGCTGCGCTCCTGGAGCCAGTATGCAATGTCCATTCACACATGGGCAATTGCACTCATGTTCTGCCGGTCCACACATCAAAAACAAGCTTGCGTACACTAGACAGCGATTGCCTATTACCATTGAGCCATCACTGGTGAGAACCATCATTGGACACGCGGGCTGCGTGCTGCGTGTCTCAAGCCCACTGGCTAGAGTCATGAATGTTGTTCTTCACAGGTTGGGCTCACCAAGGACGTTGGCATGGATCCCTTGGCCTGCGTACCAGGCGCTGTTTTCAAGGCATATTTGGCGACGCCACGCATGCTTGGGGCACACACAGAACCACAGCAGCGTGTTATCGCAATCAAGCGTGCAGCTTGTCACAGTCAAACCCTGTTGGTGTTTTTTGACCTTTCTCATGTTGCATGCACATGCTCACGCGGGTCTGCTCAAATTCACGGCGTAGCTGGCTTTTTGCAAGAACAGCAAACATGCGTACCCGCCAAATTTCATTTGAAAGGTCAGCGCTTTTGGAGTATCAACTCCTCATTCTTTAGCGTTTTTTGTGCTAACTAGGTATCACTCTTGTAAGTAAGTAGCTAGCCGCGCCGCTAAATCCCAGCAAGCGAAATAACCAAGTTAAACAATTACCAACACTTGGCAGCTATCTACATCCTAGCCTCTAAGTCCAATAACCAGACACACCCGCACGATGCGTCCCCGTGAGCGCGCACGTGTGCGGGCGTGACCGCGCTTACGCGCACGTGTGCGTTTTGCGCTTCTTTGTTGTTGTGCCTTGTTTGTGTGATGTTTGTGACTTGTTTGTGTGTGTGGTGAGCATTATTTGCGCAGCGTATGTTTTTCTTAAAGTAAGAACAGCTCACAGAGTTCCAGCGCTACGGAAGCTTTGTTAAACGTCCTTGCTAAAATCGCAGAATTACCTAGCGCCCTGGCAGTTACACTTGAGTCGCCAGACAAACCTCCAGGGTGTGAAACGGTTGTTTTGCCACGCGTTGGGTCTCTTGGGTCAGTGCCAAAGCGGGCCGCCGTTTTGCAAAGACCCCATGTTGCAATGTTGGTTAAGACTTGCGTGGTCAATGTAGCCACGCTCACTAGCTCATCTTCAAAGCAAGCTTGCGCGCACGGCGGCTTCAGCCGAGTTGCCTTGCTTGCGTGTTGTTTGCTTGATCATGGCTGTCTCCATGCAAGGCACTCTGCCGTGGGCGGCTTGAGTGACGAGGAGGACCGAACTCTTGTGCGCCAGGAGAACCCACGCAGCAAGATAAAAGAGCTTTCTGAGCCATGCCCACTTACTGACGAAACATCATTTGTGCGGCTTGTTGGACAGAGGTGCCGTATTGCGTTTTACTGCAATAAGTTGAGCAACCAGTCAGAAATTTGATTGGCAGTGTGTTGGTTTCGGGCGCAGATGTGCCCCTTTTCGGCTTGCGGAAAATGTTGGGTTTTCATTTTGTTGGATATCTTCTTTGGAAGTTGTTGGTGTGTTGTGTGTCCAAGAGTGGCTTTCTGGCATGTCCTTGAAGGTTTGTCTTGGGAACATGGCTTTGGTAGTGCTTCAGGAATGTGTTGGGAGATGTCTGTGGGGCACTTTGGGGCTATGTTTTTGGGAGTGTCTTTGGCAATGTGTTGTTCCGGGGTGGCGTTGGACATGTGCTGAGGGCTGCCTGTCATGGGTTTGCGCTTTTCGTTCCGGTTCTTGGCATCTATCAAGCGGTTTTCTTTTTTTCTTCCTTTCCTTATGCGCTTGTCTGTTGGCCTGCCGGTCTGTCTTTTTGTCTTAGCTACCTGTCTGTACTACTACTATTGCTACTATTGCTACTATTGCTACTATTGCTACTATTGCTACTATTGCTACGACTACGACTACGACTACTACTACTGCTACTACTACTACTACTACTACTACTACAAGTACTGCGAGTACTAGTAGTACCTGCTGCAACCTTGGCAAGTTCAAGTTCAACACAAGAGCATAAGAGTAGCGTGGGGCAATTTTGCGAGCGGTGAACTCCGCAGAGTCAGCTGAACATCCCGTATTGACAGGCCGCAACTCGACAGTGGCAGCTACAGCTGCTGCAATCTTCAAAATCAAAATTGGAGGTAGCGCTGTTTCCTTGTCGAGGGTTCCATCCTCGTGGCCATTGTCGTGGATGATGTTTTCACTATCACGTGGAGATCAAAGACGGTTGGTTCAGCTTGACAAGTGGCGCCAGCCCGGCTCGCCTCTAAAAACCATCACTTCGGCATTGCGCCTGAGTGTGAAACGTAGCTTTGCAACATCCCAACCCGTTCTGCGCTTCGAGCACGGGCGAAGGCTTGTGGACGCTCGCGGGCACGCGGCGAAAACACGCTGACCGCCAGAAGCCTTTGTAAACAGGAACCCTTCTGCTACGCATTCGGGCAGAAGACACGTGTGCAATCTCACTAAGCTCATCTGCACTTTTGTTAGGCTTTGGTTAAGATCAGGGCGGCTCCCAAGCTACGGGTCAATTTCCGTTTCGATTCCAAGGAGGGGCGTGCATAGAGTGTGCCGCAGGCCCAAGTCATTCGGAGCCGGCTTCGGCTGCGCCTGGGAGTGCTTAGCGGACACAAGCTGGCGACCTGGCAAAGCCCTGCGGGCTTGGAGTGAATTGTGCGGATGTTTGCGGTTGCCCTCTCCTTGCTTGGCGCGCTGGCTTCTCTTAGGCAATGAAGTACGAAGAGGTTTTTTTTAAAAAAGAAAAAACTTTTCCTGTGTCAAAACAAACTCCACCCTCCAGGGTCAATGTCAACAGGACGACAGCGTGAAGCTCAGTAGGGGGTGTTTCTAGCCACTTCAGGGTTCATTGCTCAGGGTTTCACCTTGGCATCATTTTCGCGAGTCGTAAGCCCTGGGGGCTGGGAGGTGATGACGCACTTGCCAGGGCAACTTTGCACATTCGAGTTACTTCTCTTCAGAGGTTTTCCCCATTGAGTGGGACGGATTCCAGCCACTTCGCAAGTCTTGGCTAAGCTTGACCGTGGACTGTTTGACTTTGATATCCTCTAGGACCTGTGCCTTTTTCTGAGCGCCTCCAAGCCAAAAAAGCGAAGGGCTCAGTAGGTAGCAGAGCGGACATAACTTGGTCAGGTTTGTCAACAGAGGGTTGCCATAAGTTTGAGTGGCTTCATTGGCGGCTGCCTCGTGTGACAGCCCGGTGGCCACAGAGAGAATGCTTAAAAAGGGTTTGCGCCAAAAAGGAAGTAATGCTGGAACAGTGCCACTTCATGAGCCCAAAGTGAGAGGTCATGTTGCTGGCTCGGTTCATTTACGCAGCTTGTCCTTGACTCAGCCAGGTTTCCGGCAAGTCTTTGCACGACGCGCTGGCGGCTCTGGGTCTCACGCGTGCCGTGGCGAGCAAGTGTGACGCGACCGAGCATGGGTCTTGGCACTTCACACCTTCTCTTGCGCGAGCGGTTTCCGAGTGACATGTAAACACACGTGGCCACATATGGCTCAAGTCACCCGATCTCAAAACCCACGTTGATTGTAGAGGATAGCAGAGCTACACCCAGGGTGATTACGAGGAAAAATCAACCGTGCTTATCGCCCCACCACGACACACTTCGGAACATTGCGCGTGCAAAGGGACGGCGCAGGCAGTACCGTTGGGATACACACGGAATTTCTTCAGGTCTCAGGTTGTCAGCCGTAGGGTTTTGCCCACGTGCTGAGAGACGTGGGGTTAGGGTGTCGCCTACCGACTCATAAAGATCAGCCTCAACAATGTTCGATGGACAAGCTTCGGTCACGTTTGCTGGATCGGCAGCGCCCCACGCTATCGGTGCGTCATCGCAAGGAACTCGGGAGTCAGCCGGACACGGACTCGGAGATACAATTGTAGCGAGTGCTGGAGTTCGCGCAACGAGTTAGCAAAGTGATGCTGGTGTTGGGTTCTTCTCTTTCTAGGGCACCTTCTGATGATGGTAAAGAAACTTCGAAAGCTCACAAGTCACGCAGGTCCGATGAGGCGGGCAGAATGAAGGATGAGTGTGATTTGACACGCCTCAACGAGTCAACGAGGCTGAAGGAAAGGCATTCGGAACACACAATCAAGTTCAGCAATACAGAGTGGAATGCGAAGCGAAGTTAGCATAGCGCAGCAAGCGGTGACGCTGCAACGTACAGGACTCAAGCCAAGTTGGGACAATGTAACTCAAAGGGTGAAGCGGGATGCTCAGGGAGAAGTTATTGTCCGAAGAGGCAACAGCGCAGACAAAGCTGAAAGGGGCTGAGGTGTATCATGACAGCGTGGTCTCCAACAAGGAAGCACAGATTCAAGCTTGGAGGTCGCCAGTCCAACAGTTGTCTGAAGCAGAACCAAAAGAAGTCTGGATGGAAGCTAACTGGCTGAGCAGGAGGTCGACGCTGTAAGACTATTCCTGGGGCGTCAGGAGATGAGCAACAGGGAAGCCAAGCAATGGTTGAAGTACATAAACTCAGGAATCGGTTGAGCCAAGAACTGTGCCACTGAAGAGCACCGGAAGCCAGGAAGAGCGTGACCGGTAAGCAGGGATTGCTCGAATTGGCTGAGGCACAAGCCGTACCGACGAAAAAGAGTATGAGTTGGACCGAGAATGCATCCCAACAACAATTCAACGCTCTCCAAGTCCATTACGAGTCGATGCAAGAACGGGGAGAATGAACGGAGACTAGAAGAGGACGAGGCCGAAGCGGCGCAGCTGAAGGCCAGGATGGTTGATCCCATTGCTCAGACTAAGGATGAAGAGAACAGTTGCAGAGCGCTTGTGCCCAATTAGGAACTGCCGGAGTGAGTTACAGAGTGAATTGGAGGAGATGAAGGATAGGATGAGGAACTGGATATGGTTTGCTCTTTGTCGTTGGAGGCAAATGTGACACGCCAGACCTTGACGGGTTGAGCCTCATCGCACACGTTCCCCCTTCGCGCTGCAGCGCGCTGTCTTCCGTCCAAACGCGACTGGGCCGACGTTGGGCTTGCCGATGATGGTCTTGTAGACATGCTTTCAGCAGTTTAAGCGCGTTTGATGTCAAACAGATCAGGCGTTGGGGAGAGAGAGGAGGTGCTTCCGTTTGCTGCCTGGGACACGGTTGGAGCCTGCTGACACCCATGCTGGAACGCATGGCGCAGTGGGTGTCCAAGGGCGACACATGCTTGATAGCTTTCCCCCTGATTCGAATGTGTGACATGTTGGCGCTTGGCAAGTGTTCAAGACGACCTGCAAACTGATAGAGAAAGCTATGACCAAGTGTGAGCGCGTGAAAACTTACTTGCCAGATTTTGCCACCAACCGAAATAATATTTTCGAAGCAGGCTTGCCGCACGGCTTGGCGCAGCGATGCTGGGCTGGGCTTGCGCAAGCTCCTAGTAGTTTGCTGAACACCTGCGCGTCGCAAGTGTTGGTTGGACGCAAACTCATGGCGGCTACAGCCGCAGCCGGCAGCCACACACTAAGGCGGACAAGCGCGGCAAAACCAACACGGAGAGAAAACACGCAGAGAACCTTAAATCCGCCCAATCTTTGCAAATCTACAAAATTCTTCGTGCGCCACTGCAATTGCAATGGAGTGAAAGCTTCCCGCTTGAGGTGCCTTGAAGGCCGCCGGAGGTCACCCTGAGGTCATTTGACATGTTGTTTGCTGCGTTTTGCCAGGTGCGCTTTTTGGCTTTATAGCAAGCCCTCAACACAACCGGACTTGGGCCGCGACAACTTCTCTATTGGGGCGCGCGCTGCGCAACTGGAAGAGACCAGCGGACGGCGCCCGTTCTTCAAACAAGCAACTGCCCAACAATGTTCGCCGTAGGTTGGAGGGGTCCCTGTAGCTACCCTTTGTCTGACAAACCAAGCGCCAAACTCTAAGCGAACGCCATGTTCGCCCAAGGGCCCTACAAAGTTCCCCGGAGTGGCAAAACACACGCTTTGGCAGCAACGCCATCGGCAGAGTTCCTTCGTAAAAGTGGGAATTATTGCTGTTCTTGGATTTTTACAGAGTTCACCCCCACGAGCCAACCTTTTTCCGCTTGGGCAAGAAGAGGGCCCGCAAACTTCGCCCCTGTGGGAGAGTTCTGTAGCATCCGTTTCCAAGGGTGCGGGAGGACACGGGCTTCTTCTAGAGCGAGTGCTTGAGTTCTTGGAGGAAAGGGTGGTTGAGCCTGGCCGAAACCCGGGCGCGCTGTTTGTTTCTAAAACAACGCCACGCTCTCACTGCAGTATTCGCAAGACACACTGAACAGGATGTCAAGTGACCTCAGGTTGACCTCCTTCAGTCCTTCAAGGCACCTCCGGCCGAAGCTGCAGATGCGGCGGCCGAATGCTTGCCACTTTGGCATGAAGCTGGCATTCAGCGGCAAATTCGCGCTCAATCAAATCGGTCATTGCTTCCATGCCCTGGCTGAACCGACAAGCGCCAGCAATGTCAATGGGCGTTGCGACCTCCAAGCATGGCTGTTTTCCTTTTTTGCATGGGTCAATCTGGGCAAGTCTCCTACACAATTGCAACGCACAAATGTTCTCGCAAGATGACAATCACCACTAGCAATGGCGATTGGACGAGCATCTTGACGTAGTATCTGCTGGCACCGGAGCGCGCTGTAGTGAGCGGACTTTTTGTTTTCTGGGAGGGTGTTGAGAAGTACTGCAGACACCGTGAACTTGAGCCCAAAGACTTCAACGCCGTGTCCAAGTCTTTGATCAACAAGGGTGGTTATGGTAAGACCAACTTGTCATGCTACGACTTCAACTGGGGCCCGGTTAGAGCAACAACAAGGAACGACACGTTTTACGCGGCCTTCGGTGTGACCGGGAGTGCAACTGTACATCGCTGGCGAATGGGAAACAATAAGTGAATGTGAGGACGAGCTCATCTTCGCCATCAGGAGAGTGAGTGAGCTCCAGGCGGTGGACCGACCGGAATTCACAATATTCTTGAGTCACACATGACTGCTGGCGAGGGCAATCAAGTAGCAGAATAGGCAGCTGCGCAGAACTCACTTCTCACCTTCTCTCTGGGCAAAACTTGCGCAATGCAGCGCGGTGCATTTTGGGATGACATCCCCGGCATTTCCAACGCCAGAAAAGCTTTTGAGAAATTGCTGAATCAGGACCTGCAAAGCTCCTAAGATCGCTTGGTGTTCCGGTGGATCTAATTATGAACGCCTGGATGGCCTTCTCATGTGCGATCAAAGCACAGATGTTCACCGACTACCAACCATTCATAATCCCTCGTACTTCGGCGAGGTGTCATATGTTGCCGACGACACCAAGAACCCGAAGGATGCGTTGCCTGGAACCACAAGAACGACGCCAAGGCCGCTCTGGGAATCTTTGGCCAGGTGGCAGCTACCAGTTCGTCCTCCAGGGGTCGGTCGCCGCATCTTCAAGACAACCATGCAGGCTTCAAAGTTGCCGGAGACCCGACTGCTTTGCCACGCAACCAAGAAGCAGTCCTGATTGCAACTCTAGGACTCTCGGGGCTGATCGAATCAAAGGAAACGGAGCTTCCGACAACGTGGGAATCGTACGTGTGACGTTTGACTCATGCGCTCGGGCTCGTATCTGCGGGGGGAAGCAGTTTCGGGTGATCATGGCCGAATGTTTTGCGAACTATGTTGAGGTCGGTTGGGAGTCATGGGTGTCACTGTACGCATGTTTGCAGCCACTTCAACATTTTGGAGACAAGAAACCTATTGTTACCTTCATCGCTAATTCTTCTCCTTCATGGAACCATTCAACCGCAATTCGAGACAATGGTGAAGGAGGCACGGGCAGAGGCGGACACAGCGGTGAGAGCACCGACTACAGACGAGGAGCCTTTATCCTGAGCACAGATCTGGTGTTTCATAGGTCGAGGTTGAACACTTGCACTTCCATCGCGGACGTCACGAGTGTAATGTCCCCGTGAGTGCATGGTGGTGAGCTCAAAGGCCGAGCTGTGGCATCATCAACAATGCAGGAACTGCGTTAAGGATGCAACGGCCTGCGGATCTCGTTGGTAGAGGGGGTCGGGTGGAAAGAGAAGGGGCATCAATATGTCATCAAGAGTGGAATGGAGAGCTATGCCGAGCAACTCGAGGAGCTCATCAATGCAATTCAGGGTCTCGCATCCCGGCCGCTCATCATCACAGCCAACACCACTGATGACATCTTCGCGTTGAACGGATCGCTAGTTGCATTACGCCGACATCCTTATCGCAGGCGTCCAAGAACCGGCCGCCCAGGTCTCAGCTTTGGCAAGATGACGATCAATGGGACACATGTGGCTTCCACTACCTTGGAGAGCGAGGGCCAAATGGCTGGACAACTGGCGAAGGCGGAGAAGGAGCTCATGAAAGAGACGGAGAAAAGCGGGCACGAATTCCCAGTTTCAGTTTGACACGGTCATAGAGGGCTTCGAAGGAAGAAAGGCAGAACCCGGATGGCCCATTTGGGTACGTGCTCATGTGGATGATGTTCGTTCGGTTATTTGCGGTGAACGTGGAAGGACCGATCCGGAGAACTCAAGAACCGTGGGAATCGGGGAAGCTGCGCCGCACGCGCAGGTGCAGCGAATTTTGAGGATCAAGGTGAAGAGTAAAGTGACCACTGTCAAATGGCTGCAGCGGACGCCATGCAACTAATCCAATCTGCCGGGTGAACAAAACCCATCAGCGACCTTCAAAATTATATGTCTCTTTTCGCAATTGCTCTGAAAAAGAGTCCTTCGCAAAAGGCGCTTTCGCCTCTGTGACGTTTCCGGCGTCCGAAGGTCTGGCTCTGGCAGGTGTGATTCGCAAAAAAAATGCACTATTGTCTTCCGTTACGATTCTGGCAACAGGGCCTATGCTGGATGGTGCAATGATTCAATGGTGTCTTTGGTGACTCCCGAAATGAGGAGATGATGGTACTTGGCACCCTGAGAGCATTGTTCGTCGATTCTGGCACTCCAAGGTCAATGAGGTCCTTGAGCGGGGGAGTTTTCAGTCTATTTTGTACTTGGCGGAACAACCGCTTCATCAGGACTACCGCGAAGACAGCCACCCATGGGACGCTTCAGGATGTCATGCAGTGGTAGAATGAGTTGCCTCCGCCGGTGTTCCATTTTCCTTCGGAAGGTGATGCTGCGGGAGCCGGGCCATGGACTATTGAAAAAGCAGTTTTGTTCATGAAGTTGTGTTGAAATCTCGGTTTCAAACTAGGTTTTCAATACTGCACGCTTGAACTTGGATAAAAACAAGACTCGCAACTTATAACAGCCTTAGCTGTTTTGCGATCGAAAAGCAAGCCACTGCAATATTGAAGTTCTAGAAGAACCATGAGCAGCTTTTTCCTGCAACATGCCAGCCTCATTGAGCACAGCAAGAAAGAGGGCATTTCCAAAGCCTTCAGCTTTGGTTGCTGCAAGGGTGTGCTGTTGTCCAATGCTGTGAAGGGTGCTGGCTTGCTAGCATTGGAGGCAATGATGATTGTTTTGCTGGGTGCCGGCGCGAATTCAATTCTGTGGACCCTAATGAGGCGGTCAAGAACTACAACCATCACTTGCCCTGTGTGACAGGGGCATGTCTTTGGACAGGTGGGCAGGGTGGGTTGCAGGCAGGATCCTTGTGGCTCAAAAGCAGCAAGGTGGGTGTGGTCCAAGATTTGCTTCACAAAGGGGCAAGCGCCAGCACTCTTGCTGAGTCTGATATGGATATGCAGCCCTGTGCCAAGGAAGTGAAGTCCCCAATGACAAAGAAAATGCCTCCTCCTGCGGCCAAAAAATTAATTGTGCAAGCGCAGCAGTGCCCAGGCAGAACCCAGCCCTGTGGCTTGTGCCAAAGAAGCTGGAGGCCATAGTGGTGAAAGAAAAGAAAGAGGCCGCCCCGAGATCTATCCCACAAAGGCCACACCTGCAAGTGCTGGAAGGCGGCAAAACATGAAGCAGAGCAAGTCCCACTTGAACATCATCACCAAGATCAAGTGGAGCATCTGGCTACGGTGTACTTGGGCGGGCATGCGAGGGGACCAGAGAATCACTGGGCACGAATCGAACGACGCTTTGGAGAAGAGGGTGCGCCCGCTCCTCCGTTCGTTAGCCCGAGCTGGTGTGTCCAGCCTCTACGAAGGTGTTATGGACGATGGGGTTGAGTACGCCGTCTGGTGCTTGGGCGCAAATCACGTTGCCTCCAAATTGCCAACGTTCAATGTTAGGACGTTGGGTTTCCGTGCGGAGGCCTGTGTGTGAGACAGTTCATCGGCTGTTCTGGGTCTTCTTGGTCTTCGTCGACTGAAGAACACGCTGGAGAATGGAAGCGCACCATCTTCGTCGCGACTGAGTCGTAGCTGGAAAGTTTAAGAAGTTCCTGCGGGAGGCAGCGTGGATAGCCGCACTCCGGTTGGCTCGTGCTTTACTCTTCCCACGTAAGCTGATTTGGGTGTTCCTCTTCGTCGAAGAGTTCTTCGCGCGAAGGTTTGCGGACGCGGGCGCTAGTCGCTTGGAGATTCGCGACGCCCTTTCGAGGGACGAATGCTTTTGAAGGAATTGGTGATGTAGTCCTTTGAGCACTTCACGAGGACGTACACCCAATTGGGGTGTTGGAGGATTCCAATCTTCATTAGCGATGCGTGGCCAGCGTGCGCCGAACTACGGCCAGCTCTGCATTCCCCCGGCGGATGACATAGAGTTCGGTGTGTTTCAGCAGGAGTCGGAGGAGGATAGCAGGTGTTCAACAACCATGCTCGGAGGTATGTCTTACAGTCAGCAGAGGGCAACCTTGCTGAGTTGCAGGCGGAGGTTGGCGAGGCCGAACATGAGAGAGGTAAGAAGTCGGAGACCGTGTGCGTGTTTGTTTGTGACAAAGCATCGACTTTTGGAAGTTCTGTGGTGATGCACAGGCAGTCGGATGACAGGTGGTACGGACAACCTGTGAGGACAAGACCGTCTCGCTTGAACAGGACGCCGGCGTATTTCACCTGTTGTCTGCTGCGCGACAGGAATTTCATGTCCCACGGGATGCTCTACTTGAACAGCAACGACGTCATAATGGAACCAATTCTACTTGCCGAAATACCTCCAAAAGGGTGATGAGAGCACAGTGCGTCGATCCTCTCCCGGAGGCCACGCCGGGGCACTCGGCGCTCATCATAGTCTTTGTCAAGTATTTTGGCACCCTTACAAGGTTGTGGGGTCCGAATTCAATAGAGGAGGAAACCAGGGAGGAGATGAACAAGCGTCAGAAAACCTGGATCGAAGGGAACAAATCATCCTTTTGCCAGACGTTCCAAAGTGCCCATCGACGACAGCTATCAGCCGAAACAACAGGTTCATCCCCTGACGATTGGCAGACCGTCGAGCCCGTTTTCTTAGAGTCGGAGAAGGCCGAGGTGTTCCGCCCGAGCCGGGGAGGAAGTCAGTCCTCGAGGATCCGCCTTTAAGCCTTGGCATTAGGATGTCTGCGATCGTGAACACGTCCCCGAGACCAAGGATGGTGGCAGAAAGGAAACAGGTAGACACGGTTTTTCCGGCCTACCAGCTATCTGGCCTATGCCAACAAATGCGTTGCGCTTCTATGAACTGCGAGTATAACGTTCCTGGACAATATATTCGCTAACAGGACGCATTTCATTTGCATCTCCGTTTTACGGTTTCGACGCCGGTTTGATTTCAAACGGCGCAATGGTAATACATTTTCCGATTGGGATGTGTCTGGATGAATCAAGCATAGGAGGTCAACGGGTCTTTTGACTTCGCTGACAGGGCACGCCGACCCTGATATGTGGCCAGGCCTCGTCGCTAGATGCTGAAAGTAGGTGAAGATGACATCTTCTGGAGAGTCGCTGGATCCTATGCCATTGAGCCGGCCACCGTGTTGTCTTTCGCGCGGGATATTGAGGAAAACCATATTTCGGCCTCTGCACGGGTGGTTCGACACGAACCACATTGCGCGGGGTGTGTGAATGGTTTCCGAGTGACATGATAGAGACCATGTAAGCACCCGTGGCCACATTCGGCCCAAGTCACCCCTATCAACTAGGATCCCAAAACTCAGGTTGATTGCACAGGATAGCGGAGCTAATCAGGGTGATGCGAGGAAAATCAATCGCGCTTATCGCCCGACCGCAGTTCTTGCGTGACCGCGGAGGGGCGTTCGTGTCCCGCGATGCTCATGGGGACTTCCTGGTTTCGTGGGTTTTTCTCCTGACAGTGCGTTTGCCCCCAACATGGGCCTTTGCGTCAGTGGGCCGTGCTGGAACACTGATGTCAAATTTCGCATGGCAGCGGGGCACGCGACTGCAATGAAGATGGCCATGTGACGGCTGACACGGAGTCTGATCAACTCCGTGCGCCTGCGCGTTTTCCGGCATCGACCTAGTGTTTTCGCTGTGATGCTGATTTTGAAAATGTTTTTGCAGCGCGTTTCCCGACGCCCTTGCCTGCGTGTGAGACATCTCTGCCTTGAGGATCTGCCTCCTGACTGTGTTGGCGCGTGTTTGGTTGCGATTGTCAACTAGGTTTTTTTCCAGGCTGAAATCTTTGATCGCATCGGGCGTGCCAAGGATACACGGAGGAGGACATGAATGAATTGGTCAACCTCCTCAGTGATTTCATTGGCTTGCGTTTTCAGGAGGAAACAGAGACGCCGTGGCTCAACTACAGTCAGTTTTTTGCCCTTTTGTTTTGCACGTATTTTGACAATGGCTACGAGAGCCTGTGCCTGGTGCCTTGTCATTTCATGGCCTTTCGCAGGCTGAGTACGCCTCACTGGTCACATTGAAGGGTCTGGAACTCCTGAAGTTGCACAATCTGCAGCTATTGGACAGCTCTTGGCCCCCAAAATTATCCTTACTAAGAGAAGAGAACGTTCGACAGCAAGGTGTTCCTCGCTGTCTCTTACCAGATGCGAGTGAAAGGCTTTTCTGGTCTTGCTGATATGCGTTTTGCTCCTTTCCTTCGGGTGTTACCTACCGGATTTCAATTGCCCCTCTGCACATGTTGCCAAAGATGTTGCATTGTTTACAATGCCTCATGCCAGCCCACTTCCTTTATGACTCCGAACCCGAAGATGATTAGCTCTTGCATCCAAGGTCGGTTGTGGGCGTTTTCCGCCGTCGGGCTTCCGGCGTGGGACCCCCATCGTGGCAATGGCCAGAGAACGCCACCTCTCCTAGTAGAGCTGGCAAGTGTCCAGCCAGCGTTTGAGTGGCTTTTGGGAATGAGCTGGGACTAGTCGACCTTGCGGCTTAGTAATTCCCATGTCCTTGCTGGCACCTTCCATTTTGAAGCATCTGGAGTTATTTCCATGTCGGGTCTGGGTGATGCATGGTGTTGCGAAGATGGAGGTTCGGAACTCAAGGAGCTTGTTTTCTAGACTTGCCGACATCTGACGGATTGCGTGCTATTCTGTCCAGCCCGTGTCATCATAAGGGATTCCACCAAAAGCCTCTCCGACCGATTATTTTGTTTTGGCCGGCACGCGCGCTCCGTTTTTTTGTCAGAGCTGCTGGGCAGATCGGCTGACCTTAGGTTATCAGCAGCATGTTGTGTCCATCACGCGCACTCTGCCGTGATGCTGCCTGGGGCGTGTCACAGTAGCAAACAGAACCGGGCCGGACAGTTCAACAGTACACAAATCCGTAGCAAGCCATTGGGATGTTTTGGAACTTGAGCGCGAGTTCCTTGCCTGATTGTTGCTTTGCTAATTGGTTATCTTTTGGTCTGATGCCCGTCTGTTGACTCCGAGCGGGATATTTGCAACAATCCGACATGTTTGGTGTCGAACTGACTGCGCTGCGCAAATTCTAATGTGGATGCTGCCAGGTTCAAGCTTGTCCAACACCACGCAAAAGAATATTGGACAAAGAGGTTCTTTTCGAGGAGCTTGCTTGGGTGGTTGCGTTGCACGGTCGCATGCCGAGGAGCTCCCTAAATTTGATCGAGAGAGTACCGCGGAGCACCTACAACGTAGTGCCTGCCCAAGCACTCATCGAAGTGTTCTTGGCGGAGGAGCGTGACATCCACAAGCTGCTTTGATGAAATATGAAGGCTTGGCACGCAGCCGGACCCACTAGATGAGTATTATGAAAGCGGGAACGCGCTCAGCCTTAGCCCGTTTGAGGCTCACTTTGGGCCTTGTGCTTGGTTCTTCTAAGCCGGGAATTGATGCACAATCGTCGCCTCAGCTTTTTTGAGAGACTTGACCGGGCATGGGATTGTTGAGTTTGCTCTCAGTGCAAAGTAGAAAGGAGGCTGACACATGTAAACCCTTCCTTCAAGCCAGTCATGCCGATGCATAGATGCGGGGATTAGTTCCAAGCCAAAAGGAAGACAGTCCCTAGATTTCAGCGAGGCAAATCGGAGTTCAAAGTTGCAAGACGGTGGCGCAGGAGTGATAGAGATGTTGGCGGCGTTGTGCTGGACATGAGCGACATATTGGAGACACGCCTCGGTGAATGTGTGCATTAGCGAAGTTGTGAGCTAGCTCCACATTGAGTTGCGCTTGGGTTCACAAAGTGAAACCAAGAATGACGGTTCACTCAGGCACACGCTTGAAGCTTGGCTCTCTCAACATGTAGCCTAAAGCCGTTTAACAGTTGTGGGCGCCGAAGGTTGTAATTTGGAGGTCCAGAGTCTTGTTTCTGATGATTGGATATTGGCTAGCCTTGAGGAAGATCTTTGGGCACAAGGTGAACCAGCTCCTTGGGGTAGAGACTGCACAAGACATGGAGTTGGAGGGTCAACTCGTGTTGGAGCGTTAGATGATGCTTTTCTTCGGCACCGTCCCCTTCCATTGCTGGTTGATTCATCTATGGCCCTCATGTTTTGAACTCGGCGATGTGTTGATTGGCCCTATGCCGGTGAGAGCTGCTTGTTTTGCCTTCTTCTTGTCTACGACAAGATTGTCATTGGCGTGGAAGGGTTGGGGTGCGCGTGTCCATTGTCGACCTTTTTTTGGCTAACCACATCCATGTGCAAGCCGCAAAAGGACAGCCCTAGGTTCAAGGCTATGCGGGAGATCCTTTTGGCGGGTGATACCAATCGCGACTTGGCAAATGTATCGCGGGTGATGCCTCGCGGCCACTCGTCGCTGTTTCGATGAGCTTGGTGACGGAGTCCAGTTTCTTCGTTCGATTTTGTATTGAATATGTGCTCGATGACAGGTCTCATGCTTGAAAGGTTCACCCAGACCGGCCGAGGTAAAGGGGCAATTGGTTGTGCTTGCAAAGGCCACCAACTTCCCAGTTGTTCACGCACATCGTAAATGAGTAGGCGCTAGCTGTGTCGCGAAAGTCCACCGTACGATCGTGGGTGCGTGGATGGATGGATGGATGGAGCGATACAGGGCTGATGGATGGATATGGATCAACAAGGATGGGTATGGATGGATATGGACGGATATGGATGGATATGGATGCAAGTTTCTGTGAAGGTGGGTTTTAAGACTGCAAGGTTTTCAGATTTTAAGGTTAGAATATGTGAAGGTTATACTATTTTAAGACTTCAAGACGTCAAGTTCTTTAGACCTGAAGATTGTACGTTGTTTTCTTTATATTTTAAAGTTCTATTTGTTTAACTTGACATTTTCAGGTTTCAAGGTTTGATCTTTCAATATTTGAACATTTTTAGACTTTGAGGTTTTAAGACTTGAAGACTTTAATATGTTAAGGCTCTAAGATGTTTAGATTTTAAGGTTTCAACCATATTTAATATGTTTTAAGGTTTTAAGGTTTCGAGGGGTTAAGGTTTTAATATTCTACCATTTTAGGATTTCATGATTTTAACATGTAAAGATCTCACGGTTCCAAGATCTTTTGGTTTTACCATGTTCAGGTTTTCAGGTTTGTAGATTTTCCGATTTTAAGAAACCCGGTTTTAATATTTTAAGATTCTATTAGTTTATGGTTTTTCGATGTTACGCGTTAAATATTATAACACTTTAGGATTTAAAGATTTTAAGATTTGAAGTTTCTAAAATTGCAAAATTGTAAGTGTTTATGATTCTAGCATTCTTAAATTTTAGGACTTTTTGAGATTTCATCAACAAAGGCCGGCATCCCCAACATCCCCAGCATCAACTGCATCACTGCACGGGCCTGCAGACCCACAAGCCCAAGACTGCAGACCCAAAGGCCGGCCCAAAACACGCCAGAAAGCGCACTCCCCAGCAGCAGCCTTCGCCAGCATCCTCGGCATCGCGGGTTTGCGGCGCAGCGCGGCAGCCCCTTGTCCGGCCTCGCCGCAATTTCGCCCAAAGGGGCGCATGCCTAGGCTTTGCCTTCCGAGAGACGGTCGCTGCCGCCGACCTCTCGCATCGTCTGCGTTCCCAGCGCCTTTGGTGCACCATCGCCACACGACTGGAGCTCGAGTTGAGGGAGGGCTCAAAACACTGCAAATATGCAGCAACCCAGCTGCATCGCCAGCATCACCAACGCTTTCGGAAGCTCCTGAGTTTCGCGCATCGCGTGCATGCCCTGCATCGCCCGCAATTGGGGCCATTCTTGCCCAAGCCATTCCTGATGGCGCGCGCGCGCGTGCGTGCGCGCGTGCTTGCGTGCGTGCAGGGCGCGCGGCGGGGGGGCGGCGCGGGTGCGGGTGCGGGTGCGCGCGCGCGGGGTGGGTGGGGGTGGGTTGGGTGGGTGGGGGTGGATGGGTGTGTGTGTGTGTGCGTTGTCGGGTAGGTGGCTGTGTGGTGGGTGTGTGTGTGTGTGTGCGCCACCCCACCCATTCCTCCATCCCATGTATCATTGCATCCCACAGACCTACCCATCCATCCACCCATCCACCCGCCCACCGCGTCCCTTCCATCCACCCATATCCATCCCTCCCTTCCTTCCTCTCTCCCTCTTATCCGCCATCCATGGCGTCCATCCATCCAGCCCGCGCGGCGGACATTCCAGGCCGGCGCGCGGAGCACGAAAATTTTGGATCTTTGCTCTAGAGCCTGGCTCCGAAGGACCAAGCGGAGTAATCTGACCAGCTGGCCGCGGCAGGATTTACGTTGGTGGTGCGCAACCGGCCGCGGCAGCACCGCCGCGCTGGGCTTCATATGTGCTTACTCCGCCAAAGCGGCTTGCGACAACGACAACGACAACGACAACAACAACAACAACAACAACAACAACACCAACAACAACAACAACAACAACAGTAACCGCAACAACCAGCAACCACAACAACCACAACGACTGCGTCTTCAATCTTCGGCTGCCCGCAGCGCATCTCCTTTGAAAACAAGCTCACTCGAGCAGTACCAGGTTTGCGCAGTGCTGAGCGAGTGCACTTGTGTTCTGGCTCGTGCGTTTGGCGCCTGAGAGTTGCGCGGCGCTGCTGGTATTGTTCTTGCGGCTGTGTTGTTGTTGCTGCTGTTGTTGTCGTTATGCCGTTGTCGGTTCCAGCAACAGCTAGCACCGGTGCTATTGTCATACGGGCGTGCTTTTGGAGTTGGTTGACAGGGCGTCCGAGCAGAAAGTACATTTTTGTGCTGAGACCGTCTATATATATATTTACAAGATTTGTTTTTCAGTACTTTTTGTTTTGACACAGCTCCATACATAATCGTTAGATGTTGCGATCGCTTTGTTTACGTACTAGCTAGAATCTGGAAGTTGATTTTTTGGATGTGACTGCCTTTTGAATCTAACCATATCTGTATTTCTGGTTTATGACACATGTACTGGTCAAGACCAGGTGTACAACATTTGGACTTTATGTATTTTTGATGTTTTTGTTTTATACGTACCTGCCACAACAAAAGCAAACGCAACAAAACAAAGGAAAATCAAACCCACAACAGCAGCAACGCAACAACAACAACAACAACAACAACAACAACAACAACAACAACAACAACAACAACAACAACAACAACAACAACAACAACAGAACCGATTGCAAGGTGGACTTTGTGCAGGGCCTGTTACTGGCACCCAGCAACACACGACAAGAACGAACTCGCGCAGCGCGCATGCACGCACGCGCGTGCATGCACGCACGCGCGCGCACGCGCGCACTTGCAGAGCGCAGGCATGCGCGCACTCACGCAGCCTGGGCTAGTTGCCGCGCAACGCGTTTCAAATCCGAGCATTTTTGTTTGTTTCGTTTGCCGGTGTTACTCCGCGTGGAAGGCGCCTCCCAGCAACACCCACAGCGTCACTCGCATCACCGGGGCAAGCCCGCGCTCATCATTTTCCTCTTCACAGACCCCCAGCCAGATCCTTTGCGTTACCGGCTCGGCGGCGCCGCGCGGCAGCCCTATAGAGCTTCGCTCTAGAGCCTTGCTCCAAGGGCCAAGGTGGTAATCCGACGCAGCCGTTCGGCCCGCTTCGCCGGCCGCAACAACCGGCCGGATGTACGTTGCTGGCGCACAACCGACACCGCTACGCTGAGGTTCATATGCGCCAGCTCCTACTCCGTCAAAGAGGCCTCCTGCGTTTGCAACAACAACACCAACAACAATCACCACGGCCACAAGAACAAAAAACAGCAGCAACAACCGCAACAACAACAACCAACCAACCAACCACAACCACAACCACAAAACAACAACAACAACAACAACAACAACAACAACAACAACAACAACAACAACAACAACAACAACAAGAACAACAAGAACAACAAGAACAACAAGAACAACAACAACAACAAGAACAACAAGAAGAACAAGAAGAACAAGAAGAACAAGAAGAACAAGAAGAACAAGAAGAACAAGAAGAACAAGAAGAACAATAAGAACAAGAAGAACAAGAAGAACAAGAAGAACAAGAAGAACAAGAACAACAACAACAACAACTACAACTACAACAACAACAGCAACAACAACAAGAACAACAAGAACAACAAGAACAACAACAACAAGAACAACAAGAACAACAAGAACAACAAGAAGAACAAGAAGAACAAGAAGAACAAGAAGAACAATAAGAACAAGAAGAACAAGAAGAACAAGAAGAACAAGAAGAACAATAAGAACAAGAAGAACAAGAAAAACAAGAAAAACAAGAACAAGAACAACAACAACAACAACTACTACT